AATGAAAAATAATTTCATTCAATGTTAAATGTAATGCACTTAGATTTATACAATTATAACTCTGGAAATTAGTTTTATCTAGAATTATTTTAGTGGACCATTATTTAAGTTTATTGATTATCGATTTAGAACTCAAACCAAATATCGAATTATCAGTGGCATATTTTATGGATACACCGACAGATTACTATTGATTTTTTGATTACGTAATATTATTATACCCGTTTATTGGTAACCAGTGAAGATTTTTGTAAAATAATCACAACTTCATATGTAACATTCAAGTTTCAAATTTTTACGTTTTACTAACAAATATTTATTAAATATACGTGTAATGACATTGTTTTACTTTTTTATTTCTGTTTGTCCGATATCACAATCCTAATTACGACGTAGTTTTTTGAATTTTATACCATGTTTTCCCATACGTAAACAAGAATTTGTTTGCGTTGTTCTAAAGAGTACAAAGGTCCAAGTAAAATAATATTTGTTATATAAGACCAGTAAGAAGTATTTATACTGCGCTTCGGTACTGAATAGGTATAAAACATGTTATATATATATATATATATATATATATATATAAAACCGCTGGTTTTTAATAAATAACATTTTTTTTTTTTTACTATTGTGAATCATTTAATTTATTCTTATTCTCGAAACATCCTAGGTAATATAGTTTTAAATTATCGTTTTCTAAATAAAATACCTAATGAAATAACAGTCAAATCCAAAATCCAAAATATAATTTCTCTTAAGCAAAATATGTTATTTAAAAATAATATTATTTTTAAACCAAATGATTATATTTTATTAATACACTGAAATACATTTATAGCATTCATTTATCAAAGTGCTAAGTTACATGGTCTTCCAAAAAAAACCATTAAAACTAATGTTTCCAATTATTGTTAAACTAATAGCACTGCCATGTCCCGAGTTCTATTTTCTTATACCATACAGTCTATTTATAATAATAAACTTTTCGATCAAAGTGTATGTGCTTGAAACTCCACACGACTTTTAAATGTGATTATTATAAATTAAGACATGCAATTTTAACCGGAGATTATTATAGTACCATTATTGCAGAAGCACGAAGATCGACGCGTCGTTATAACGTATCTCCAAGTACTTGAAAGCGAATTTCCGCTGAAAATCACTTTTAACAAATTATTTTCCATTAGCTTGTAAAATCAATTAAGACATTGTAACCCGAGCTGTACACGCTCAAGTAATACCAGAACAATTGTATAATCTACCCGAATCAGTATAGCGGCACGTCTATAATCAATACTTACTTACGATGGTATAGATTATCCGCCGGCGGACATGTATTATTTTTGTTGAAGGCCTACGAAACTTTTATAATTACTTTTGTAGCTTATTTGTTAGTAAAGTTTTTAATTAATATACCACGTATAACATACATATAATGTTAAACTTTAAAACTAACTTATTATGTTTTTTTATATTCGATTCAACTATAAATCGGAAAACATATTTTGTATGTACAGCTTTTATGCGTAAAAGAAAAAAATAAGATAATAAAGTAAATTTTTTAAATTTATGTTGAAAATTAACGGTAAAAGAATTCGTCTGATATTTGCATATATATTGTTGGCGATGAAATAATATGAAAAATATTGCAACTATTATAAACATATGACGTACCGTAGAATAAATATTTTATGGTAAGAGGTTTAAAGAAATTATAATATCATTTTGAGTGTAATGCTAGCCGACTGACTATGATTTATTGCAATTGAAATTATTCGAATATAATGACGTAGCAGTGCTAATACCCTTTTATTTTTGGGGTAGAGATGCATATTTCGTTGGTTAAAACAACATATTTTAATTATTCATTTCGGGTTTACATGTACTGGAAACGCAGAATTTTGCGTTTGTAAAATATGGTTTAGTCGTTTTGTTTATGGCAATATCAATGACAAATTGGAACAATAATATTTATGATCAGCTTATTATGTACCATAATAGTAATAAAAAAAAATAAAAAAATGAAGAAAGAAAAATAAATAACAATATCTACTAATCTGCATATACAAGGGCATTTAAATTTGATGTGACACAAACAATTAACATTACACAAAAACTCGATGTGAAACTTAAAAATAATCGACGTTTTTTTCAAATCTTGTATTTTTGTGTCTTTAGGAACATTTAAATGAAAATATGAATTATTTTAACAGATTAGTTTTTTTTTTTTTAGCATTAGAAATTAATAACAAAAACCTTTCATTAGCATTAAAGTAAATTATTCTTCTTAGTTACAATAATAAGGTCGAGGTCTTCGAGTTGACAACAGTAATGGAAACTGTTATTTTCCATTTAAAACTCTGTGTAATTACCAAAAGTTTTTTAATTACAGTTTTCCATTCCTCTGGGCGTTGCATTTTTTTTAATTTTTTTTATTTTTTCTATAAATAGTATTAATTTTCTCGTCAACCACACGTAGAGGGCATTAAGTCCTGCTGCAGGTTTAACTAGCCTCGTAATGCTTGACATTCTCGTGTCTATTGCAAAGTTATTGGGCACTAATGACCAAATAAAACACAAAAAACGAAAGAAACCGTAGTAATGATGTCGATTTTCGGCTGTTGCAGTAGATAGAATTTCGCTAAGGAAACCCGAAGATCTCGTTAGCGAAGGCTTTGTCCGTAAATAGAATACACGCCTATTACGCGTATATTATTTATATATATATACAACATTCTGATCGGATGTGAAATAAAACTGGTGGTATCGAATAAATTGCAAAAATATCGTTTTTAAGTTTCCTATCAAATTTAATTAGAATCTATTGAATGTGTGGATTTTTTTCTTGTTTTAATTTTCTGTCCTTGTATTGAGAAAACGGCAAAGTTTTCTAAAATCAGGTTTAAGCGTGCGAACGAAAACATTACTACACGTACGATACTGATTACACGTTAAACTTTCGGTCAGCTTTAATTACATTCTTATCCTTTCCAATTGTCGACATAACACAAGTAATGCGAATCGTCGTCGATCGTAGACACGTAATCGACATTTCAGGCGGAACGCGACATTTAGCCGTACGATGGTAGTACGTACGTTTTCCACGTCATAACGATGACAATGACCGCGACAAAGAACACGATGAAAGGGTTGGCGTTTTAAAGCCTAAAATCACCGTGTATTGCTCGTACAAATCATGTACGCATCTGTTTACGCGTAATCTTCAGCTATCATTTTCAATGCAGTACACTTGCTCTTGCATCACACGGGATTCGTTTCTCGGCAACTTACAATCCTTTTTGGTACATATCTATTAACTATTATTATTAGTTACACGGGAACGGTCACATTGCAATCTTTCATCTATTCATAATGTCCTTTCCGAGAATAATTATTGTTTTACACGTGCCGTCGAGAAAGTATGATGGTAATAATTCTCCATATCGTATCCGTGCATACGTTAAATCCGAGCGAAACGGAACGATAAGTGCATTCTAATTATTCGACAAAGGTTGCTGTGTTTTTTGTTAACAAGTTTTCCCGTGACGAATAATCAGATTTTAGGAACATCTGTCGAGTTCAAACTTACTCGTGGTTTCAGTTGATATTTTAAAAGCGTAAATGTTAATGGGGTTGTCAAAATAATTATTCAACATTCGAAACAAATGAAAATGTTAATTTAAAAAATGTCGGCGTCAAATACACGTTTTTAAATGGGTTCGAAATGTACTAAACATTATTCGCATGGTTACTAATGGGCTAGTTAGATTGTGGTAGTGCACACATACACATACAAACACACAAACACCATTATCTACAACGCGGTGGGGTTCTACGATTTTTACGTTTGATCGGTAACACACACACATGTCCACCGTATAATATTGAAACAAAAAGTATGTAACTCATATAATCATGACAACGAACATTATTTTTCATTAATTGCACAAGCGCTCAGAAGCGAATGATTTACATCATCGATGGGAGTTTAGAACCTGTATATTTTCGTTCTCATTTCTCCCCTCCCCGCCGCTGACTCGTGCACTGACCGTATCAGGCTTGACCATCTATCAATTAAGAGCGTTTCACGCTTTGAAGGGTCAAGTTAACATAATTAAAAGGGGAAAATATTATAATACATATATACATATATTTAACCGGAACATGATTACAAGTTTCTCCTATCGTCGCGTCCTCGAGTAATAGCGTAATCGTTAATTGATAGCGATGATGTAAACCGATCTGGAGATCTGATAGTCAAAATGATTATCGAAACACTGCTCCTAAGGGTGTGCAAACTTCATTTTCTATAAACCGAATGAGCGTTACGAAATAATTACATTTATACATTCTGTACGAATCGTTATTATTACCGTTATCATCATCATCATCATCATCATCATCATAATAACGTCAAAAAAATATGCGTTTCGTCAGTTGAATACGGTAAGTGAAACGATAGTGGTCTTATACCATAGCCGGTCTCCAAGTCAAATAGTTTACGATTAGTTACACGGTCTGGTGTAGTATTACACGGTTTTCAGTTTTTCGAAAGTTTCACAAACGATTTTAACCACGCTTGTTCGCGGCAGATGGAAATTAAACGGATTAATATCGGTTTCGTACGAAAAAACGAAACGGGTTGATCTCTTTTTTCCACGCGCCATTTGTACTTCGACATGATTTCGCGTGGGCAGATCTCGTACATAGACAATAGTACCGTAGATCGCATAAATCAGACGGTCCACCACGAAAGGCTGCTAAGTGAACGGCTACCCCTGTGAATCGTAATCATGGTGGGGGATGTTATGTTTACGAAAATATCGTAATACCATAAATCAGCATGGCTGAAACCCGTCAATTATGCGTCGGGCTATCCTTGATTATATCAAAATGATACGCGTACGTAATCCCCGTCGGTAGCGCGTACCGGGTTTGTATACATTTACCAGTTGTGCATACGGAGAGTGAAACGCTACGCGCGCAATGCGGATACTCACGTGGGCATGATGATGAGTGGTGGTGTCTGTGTTGTTCTCATGGGACTGTCCAGAGGTCCTCTGCCGAAGCCGGGCCAGGGCGCTCTTCAGCCCCTCCGTTTTTGCCCTACCGGTATACCAGCCGCGCCATCTCTTCGGCCTCGCACCCGCCGCCGGTGCCCTGGACACTATCCGTTAACGTCTGGAAAGAAAAAAAAACAAACGCACTCGGTTAGAAACTTCATTCGTGCTCTCCGCACCATTTGTTCTCCCGATTGTTATATAGGTAATCCGCAGTTTGAAACGAACTCGCGAACGTCACGCACTAGTCATGAGTTATCCAAGTGCGTACTCCACTTTTATTTTGTACGAAACGCTCATAAAACTTTTACCACCTGCACGCGCGGTTGTGATTGTAAACCTTGTGTGTACTTTGTAATATTAACACTGACCCTATATCACCGTGAATCGAAAGCGTAACGTGTCCTTTAGAAATTCATATTGAACCGTACGAGAATTCGCAAGGCCGTGCGCCTGACATTGGTTACAATAATAATCAAATGATCGATTACGGCAAATAAATAATTTAAGACTTTCACCCCTTTGCCCTTTCTCATAGTAACGGTTTGATAACTATCCTCTTCTCCCCCGCTACTATTTAAATTCATCTATATTCGGTTGCGTCGTTGCGTACAACATTTACCGCATTTGCTTGATTCAAATGCACCATGGTTGGCACATCGTTGCACTGAAATGGTACCAGAGCAAGTGATACGCATATATTTATCAGTTTTGTCGTAGCGACCATTGTATGTTACACATTTTGAGGGACCATCGCTCGGGTTCCGTGTACGATAAAACACATTTTTCCGGTTTTTTTAGTCGAGTCTTAAATGTTTTTCGTACCGGAATCGAAGGGCCCACGACACAAGAATAATAACCAATGTGCGAACGTTCTGCGCAATCGCAATAAATATTGTGATCCAATAAATCTATACGTCTGGCATCCACAAAACATAATTCAGCTGACGTGACACTGTAATTAATATTTTGCACTATATCGGAGTCAATTAAACCAACATTTCGGTTTATATTACAATTTTAATCGACCCGGCGATAACATTTTTCATCAAATTCCGGAGGTAATTTACATCGGCTTATTTAGAGTTAAAAATTAAAATCTGTTCACAATACCAAATTATCTAACCACGAAAAAATTCACCTGGTGTATTGATAAAAGGAAGTTACACCGTTACGTCTATCTACAAACAATATCACTGTATATTGTTATGTTGCAAACGCGTTTGTTTTTAAAATAAATTTACAGCGAACGGAATAATTTTATGAGTGAAAATACAAAGCTGGTAGTACCAACTATATTATGCAAACAACTTTTAAAGTTGTTGTGCGAAATATTATAGATAGTTCAAATCCGCATCGAACTCTAAATTGAATATTGAGCTTATTTAAACTGAGACAACAGGATTTTCACATTCAAACTAAAAATAAAAAAATTAAATCAGGATAAAATAACGCTTAGCGGTATTAAAATATAACTAGTTTGAAATGAACTGTCCTGAATGTGAAAAATATAAGAATACTTCTTTTTTCTAGATTTTAGTATTTATAACTACATAGAATTAGTAAGACTAAGAGAAAACGCTACATCAATATATTAGAAGAATCAAAGAATCATATAATATAAATATTATAATTTAATTGGTCATACAGATTTTTGGTCTACGTAGTATGTCTGTTAAATGCATCTTCCATTACTGGCAGTCTGTTAGATAACTGGAATTCACTTGATTACTCGAATTATGAATACTAGATGTATTATTTTCATGATAGTTAAATCAAATAGTGAGTTTTATTATGTTATTAAAAAAATACAATAAGCATTCTAAAGAACAATTATAATGGTAGCCTAAAACATTGATCGTGGTTAAGTTCAAAACTCGATTCATAAACGAAATGTTTATAATGAGCGTAGCCTTTTTCGATATCAAAAAACATTATATTAATTGTATATATAGAGCAGCAACGTCCAAAGAGTTTGCTTTAGCTTACACCAAAACATTTGATCTTGTAGTTGTAAATTAAATGTCATCTGTTCTATATGAATTCGAAATGCTCACCCACTACTTGTATTTGTCTCCACTGTGCTTTCCATCAATCATTTTAACAAAAACAAATGATGTTTAACAATGACCCGAATAAATCACTGTCACCGTTATCTTGAAACGCTAACAGCTTACTTCAACTCAAACACGAATTCAAACTAAGTATATACGTTAGGAGAAAATAATATCGATATATATAATATCACAATTTTTGAAAGTTACCACACTACGAAATATTATCTGAACATTTATCAAATCCGAGTAAGTTTTAAAAATTACAAAATTATTAATTATACTAACTAATTGATTTGGCATACACACATAAAATAAAATACTAATCTACTTTATTATACATAAATGTCTTAAATTAAAAACAGACAACATTTTATTTTATTATTTACATATTTAATGGGCGGAATTTTCATTACTATATACTATGCTGACCAGTAAAATAGAAAACATTATAAAATACAAAGGCGTCTCATCTACATAATTCTCTATCCAATCATACCCAGATTTTAATCAAACAACAGGGTACTGACATTCTGAATCGCTAAAGTTAAGCTCTTGTTCCTGAACATTTTAATTGGACAGTCTTTTATAACATACGCACACTCAAGGCACTCTATTAAATATCTATCTCAATTATACTTGACATATATATATATTATTCATAGGCGCAGTGTATTCTTTGCAAAAGCCGTAATGAAAAAAACTATTATTTTCATTTTAAAATTTATTTTATTGTTAGATTTGTTTTATTTTAATACTACGAAAATAGTTTTGATATTTTCATTCCTATAATATTTTCCATTAACTACTAATAAAATGCAAATTCAAATTATTTAAAAAATAATTATCAAAGATATATAGAGCGTTATGCATTTATAACACTACTATAATATAGTTATATATATTATATATAACTTGGGTTATCCACCAAAATTACGAGTAAAAGAATAGTGATTACAGCATGTGGAAGTTCGAACTCAAAGCTGCTGTTGATTATTTATACGTTTATTTGAAATGGTAAATATATATTGGTCTTTTATATAGAATTATTTAACTAAATACTATATATAGGTACCATTAATTTTTGCCTTGTTTTGTAAAATTAAAATGTCTAGTTTAATTATGTCAAACAGTAGAAATAAAGTAGAAATTGAAATGTTTTAACTAATATTATATAATACAGTAAATCATTTTTTTTTGTTCAAAAATGTATTCAAATACAAATCAATTATAGTTTTAAAATATACTATAGTACTTAAGTACGTTGCATAAAAAAAAAAATAAGCTGTTTTTAATTTGTATAATTTATGTATGATCGTTTTCTTTATATAGCGAATCAAATTTTAACGATCAACAAAATTTTAATTAACCATTTTTGATGAAAAATTCATAAAATAAAAAAAAAAACCTTTACCAAAACAAATTAATGATCATTTTAATTTTAAATGTTGTGTTATACTAGAAGTTTGCAACCCATAACCTAAAAATTATTATTTCTAACCGAAAGCCTTTCGTTATAAATATTAATAAAGGTATAGTTTATTATACAAGTTAAACGTTGTCCATAAGTAGTTGGTTAAGTTTGGTAAATTTCGGTAAAGTGTATGACTTGGAAATGAGAAATTAGAAGGATTTATGTTGAAGTCACGCTTGTTGTGGTGAGAAAGAGAGAGAGAGAGAGAGTGAGATATAAAGAGTAGAAGAGAAGTATATCAGTTGGTGTGGAGCCAAATCTGCTGAATCGCATAAAATTCACCATAAACAAAGGGGGATGGCAATAGGTTATATATGTGAGGAGAAGTGAACGCACTTCCAGAGTTCGGTCGAAGGTGTGCGTGTGCGAAGTGGATGCGGAGGGTAAGAGTTTCAGCCCGTTTTTCGTACCGTACGACCCGTAGCTGCCATAGCTGCCGTTAGCACGCATAAAATTATTATCTCAGCATGCAAGTTGTTTGTACATGTTCGGTTATCGATTATTATACCAATGCTTGCGTGACGGAGCGATAGAGTTTTGTGGAAAATGGTGGTTTCTGTGTGTGTGTGTGTGTGTGTGTGTGTGTGTGTGTGTGTGTACGTGAATGTGTGTGTGTATATAGTTGAATAGGGGAAGTAAAGGAAGCCGTAGAATGAGGTGGGAGTAGATTTTAATTTTTAACCTTCCCTCGCATACAGTGCGAATGACCGACCGACGTGTACCTGAGCATCACACCCCCGTCGATACCGATTTAGGAAAACTCGACGAACGATATGACGATTTGAGTGTTTGAAATAATCGTGTTTAGCGACAGGTACCTGTAAGTGTAAATACACTTACCAAACGGTGATGTCACGAACTCGGACCGAGAAGAAAGCGATTGGCGAACCCATTGCGATTTCCCAAGCAGCCGTCATCATCACGTCATGAAGATAGCGGAAACTTGGTGCAGATTGTGATTGTGATTTCCGATCTGTTTCGGACGTAATAGTTAAAATTTTATTTAAATGCTTTCCAATACGCTATGTAATTTTTCATCGTCAGTTGATATAAGTGGAATATATTCAGTGTTCGAATCGTTTTTTTAAACCTATTTTTTTTTTTTATACACATTTTATACATAAGTTCACCTGCCTCGGGATGTGTATCTTGTACGGTAGACACGAAATTCCGTGAATCAAGATATTCATCTTCTGTTTCGACAATGCGTTCCAAACCGACCACTCGCATGAACAATCGTATTTCTATTTTATTAAAACTAGTGCTTTTAACGTAAACCACGATGCAATCGAAATCGGTGACGTTAGACCCGCGTTTGATAAACACGTAAGTGAAATAGTTTGTGTGTGTGTGTACAATAGCGTAATGAGAAGTTATCGAAACCACGACTGCTGATTATTTATCCGCGTGTCTACAACCATGTGTTCAATGTATTTATTTTCGATCCGGTGCCCATCGAAATCGAATCATCGTAATACCATATTTTTATCGTAATCGTGAGATGGTAGTATTCAAATTAGAAATATTATAAGATTTTTATATTATTCTTATATTAGTCCACCGTCGGCAAGAAAAACGACAGA